CTCCTCTACCGCTGCCGTTGGAGGGCTTTATCTAAAAGCACACACGTTTGTGGAAACCCCTCTGCATTTTTGCCATCAGAAGCCCTTGCGCACTTGCCGGCAGTAGCCAGGCAGGTTTTGCTAGGGGATGACCCCGTGTTGGTGCTGCTGAAGGGTTTCTGACCTTCCCAGGCAGGCACGGCAGAGTCTGCACACATGGACAGCAGCAACAGGCTTGATTTCGGAGCCGCTGCTCTCCATAATACTGAAATAAGGCGGTCTGTACTCTTCCAGGGTGCAAACCTGCCCCATCACAGGATGGTTTGGTTCCTTACAAGCTGTTCATGGCTTGACTAGAAGTCAAGTGCAAGTTCTCCGGACTGAAGGCAGGGCAGAGAGCGAGCGGTTCAAGATCTGCTGAAGGATTTAGAAACCTGTGAGCAAAAGTTAGAATTTCCATTGCTTTTTGCTAGCTTATAATGTGGTTTCAGCTGTGAAAGAAGGGGCTAAAAGGCAAGAAGTTGTGGTTGTACAGAATGCCTCTCTAATCTCCATGAAAATACGGTACAGAGTGATTTATCACTGAGCTTCTGAGGCCATTTTGTGCCATCTAACGACAGCAGCGTCCCCTTAGAAGCTACCCGGCTATTTACATCTGTGTTGGGATATCTGGGGTGAACGTTCCAGGTCCTTACTCCAAACACAACCTTGGCAAATCCTCAAAGCTGCTTCTCTGAGATCACCTCAGGTTCCCAAACTGGGCAACCTGCTGTCAGCAGACACACTTTGGTAAGAAAATGAACTGTTTTATTGAGTTGTTGCAGAACAACCAGGTAGTCCCGCTCCAGGCGAACACGGTGATGCCTAAAATGTTGGTCTTTGGTGCTCCACCGTGACTTAGGGAAAGCAGCCGGTTACTTACAGCAAATTTAGAAGGCAATTCAAGACCTATGTCAAATGCTATCAAGGAAAGCAAGCAAAAAGAGCACCAAGGTTAGGTAGTCAGTTACTTACAGCAAATTTAGAAGGCAACCCAAGACCTACGTCAAATGCTATCAAGGGAAGCAAGCAAAAAGAGCACCAAGGTTAGGTAGAAAAGCACTCAGATCCCCAGCACCGCCACCACAAGCTTATGGCTAAAAACCACCCGCAAGAGGCGGGGGGGGGGCCCACCCGTAAGAGGCTTCAGGTGGAAAGCAAAGCCGAGGTATTCCCAGCTAAACAACTACATGAACATAAAGACTTTGAAGAAGTGTAAAAACTGCAAGAGATGGTGAAAAATGGCATCAATCACCAGAGCAAGTGATGACAACAAGATGTTACAGACCGCTCGTGGCTCTGCCAAAGCGGTTGACCATGGTCCTTCCTTTTGCAGGTGAGGAGGGGATGGCCTTGGTGCCAACCCAGAGGAAAAAGAGCAAACCCACGACGCAGGGAAGTAGCCAAGAACAGGCTGGACCCTTCCCAGCTGATGGAGGTGAATCTGCTGTTTGTTTTTAGCTCTTAATTGTGCCGACTCCTATGACCCCGTTCCCAAACTGATGCCAGTATCAAGGGAATGACAGCTACTTACACTGCCTAAAGTGCTGCCCACTGATTTATGGCATAAATAACAGACATATCGCACATAATGAACACCATTTTCCTCTAAACCTCATGAAAACACAAGCCCATCCCTCTGCTTCTAAAATAATTCAAGACAGAAACTGTTGATATTGGCTAACAGATATCTAGTGAAATTCAAATAATTTAGACTAACATGTTAAGTGTTTTGTTGAAAACGTGATGAAAAAATACAAGCTCTCTATCTGGGAGCAGTTCCTTTGAAAATAAACCATTACTTTCTTTTTTTACGGAGGGATAATTTGGCTGAAATGCCACAAATCTTTCAATGTCACAACCCACGGTATTATTCTTCTGATGTATTCGTTGTTGAGTTCAGCTCTGTGCATTGGCAGTAAAAAATATATTCGTTTCAAATGAAAACCTTCGTAACACAGAGGTAATCCAGCTTTAAACGTTGGCTTCTAGAGAAATCAGTCAGCTGCTGTTCTGCTAAACCTTCCTCTCCATGGAAGAGGAAGTTTGGTGCTCTAAACTCTGCTTTTATTGTCTTTGGGTAGCAAATGACACGGAGCAGACCGCATCTCCCCACCGCTTATCCCCGTGTGCGCTGAAAGCGGAGCCGAGATTAAACGGGAGCTGCTTACACAGACACGGCCAACACACGATTCCCAAAGAAATTAATGAGCCGAATTCGAGATTGTCTCAAGCAATGTAATTTATTGGCTGCACCCCATGTGCAGACGATCTCGGTGTGGGCTCTCTTGAAGGGAATCACGCTGTTTTAATTTCACACTGCTCTTTATGTGACGAGTTACAAGACCTTTTCCCCAAGGGCTTCCTCTCTACCTCAAGCTCTTTCACAGGACAACGCAGAGCTGAGTTCAGATATAGAAACTCTGAAATATCCACTTCTCCCTGCTGACGAAGGCAAGCCAAGCCTGCTCTTTCCTAAGAGCTCAAGTCGCAGCAAGCATCTAATCCCACCTCTGATAAAGGAGTGAAAAGGCCCTCGCCTGAAATGTATGCAATTGGGCAACAGGAATAACCCCCTGCGTCCCTGTCTTTCCTTATGTCTTTAATAATAAGTCATTGAAGGATCCAAAACACACAAATGAAGAGTAAGGGGACTCATGCTTAAATAATACATGTCAGAGGATTCAGTGAGATGAAGGTTCATCTTTAATACTGGGAGATTCCTTAATTAGACAGAAAAGAAGATAAAAGGCTCCCACCCCCTGGGTCTCTGTACGAGGATTAGAGAGGGAGAGACAAGTACGTGTTCAGACTAATGGAAGAATACCTTACCAGCACTTCAATCATTGCAGGGTATTTCATGTGTCCATGTCTCACGATAGATGGGACTGTTTAAAATTGGTTCGTTTCTTAGCGATGCAGGCAAGGAGGGAAATCATAAAAGAGCCAAAAGCCCTTGCAGGAGGTACAGATGAGCAATTAAACGTTAAAAATAGAGGAATAAATATTTACATTCCCATATCAAAGAGTAATAACATCAGCGCTGTAACACCGGGCTAAGGCAGAGGAGAGAGATCAGCCTCCCCCGTGGAAGGGAGCAGTAGCTGGAGGAGTGGCACCGCTTTGTGGTACAACCCTTTCATAAAACGCATTGGGTCTAAGAAACAGCTGAGCTGTGCTACTTTTCTGCATGTCTTTTAATGTGCCTGACGCTTCTGCATAATGCATTAACCCTGGCTTCGAGCTGCTTTCAGTTTGCTCAAACAATTTGCCTGGGTCGTTAGTGAAAGTCTCATCTGGAGGAAGACAGAATATGTCCTGGTTTCGCCTGGTTTGGTGCTGGTACAATGAGATGGTGACCAAGGAGCCACCACCGCTCTCTGCTGGGGAGCCCTCCCCACTGCAACCGTCCCAGCATCCCCAGTGAGCAAGCGTAGTTTTGGCTCCATGGAGAAATTCACCGTGGAGAAAACTCATTTCAGTTGGTTGCAAAGACAGTGCCCAGGCAGTGGACGTTGTGCCCTGGCTTGTCTGAACTGGTTGTTTAACGTGTTCCTTTTGGTTTGGTTTGGCTTGAATTTAAGGAGGAAATTCAAGGCAGGAGTCCAAGGATTAGCACTGATAATGCTGAGGCTTTTACTGTTAGGATCCTTTGGTGTCCACATGAAGCAAAAATGTAGTCAGTCCCAACTCAAAAGAGTCTGCAATCCACTTCCTTTATTCCAAAGCAAACAGACCCAGGTGTGGGAGCCTGCTGGGAAATTCAATAACTGTGGGTGCAGAGTTCACTGGGGACCGCACCTGCGTTCATGGGTGGAGCACAGCCAAGACATGAAACAGGCGCTTGTAAAACACGAGAGATAACAATGCCCAGTACCTTTGCTCCGCTTCACTCAAAGGAGTTTTGTCACGGACACAGACCTTTTTACTCATATACTATAACAAATAGCGATAAAAGAACGGTCCAAAGAGCAGCTAACTCCAGTCTGGCCATCCGTTTGCCTCCTGCAAGCACCTGTGACCACCTCGTCCCAGTGGGAACAGAACCAGGACAGAGAGAACTTTTTCCTTCTGTTCACAGACTTCACCGTTCCCAAAGGTTTCGTGCGTAGCCAAGTTGAAGAGAAACCAGAGGCACAGTTTCTCAGCCCCGGGAAGTGTTAAGCCTTATGTTTTCCATAGGTTTGGAGCCAGTGGTTTGGGCATTGATATCCCAAATGCCAGTTAAATGAGGAGTCATGAGCTGCTCTGGAAGCAAGCGCCAGACTCACAATTCCTATGAGTTACCAGCCAAGAAATCAGGCCACAAACAGAACTTTATTGCTAAGACCAAGATACTGGATGAGAAATCCAGCAATGGTTTTGAGAATCAAAACCATCATTACATCAGATACCATTTCTGAAACCGCACAGCTTGGCCTTTTGAAGTCCTTTACCAGCAACCATATCCAAAATAAAATTTCCCATTGCTGGCCATTCTTTCATTCATACCCAAATGTGATTCGAGTGCCACACTGATAATGTCCTTCATCCCTTTTATGTACTGTAATGTGATGTGCTTTGAGAACATTTGGATAACGTGAAGATTGATCAGAGGGAAAACGCTCACATACTGTAATTTTTCCAACAGTACCACAGTGTATGACAGCCCAGTTCTACCAGGCAAGACCCTGAACAGGCTTTGCTACTTTACTTAAATAAATACATTCTAAAACACAGTGTTAGACCTCTTGGCCTGTATCTCTGTCGGGGTGAGACAGTCCCTTACCTTACAGTATTTTCTTTTGTACCAGCTGTCTTTCTAGATATGAGTTTTATGGAGAAAATCCCAGACCATCTAAAGTTTCTCAATTTTCAATTTTGCAGCTATTTCTACCACCTCTCAAGTGCAGCTTGACAAAGCCAAGTCCACTAGGAATAGAACAGATGGTAAGGCACACCCTTGAGGAAAACAACCAGAAGAAGAGATACCAAAAGTGCCAATGGGATCAGGACCGTATTTTTACATCTATGGATCTAATGGAGCTACGCTGTAACTAGGTCCTCTCAGCAGACTCATATGAGCAGTATATATGAAGCCATTCAATGTTATCCATTACCCATTGGCCTCAAATAATTTTTCTTTGATTTGCTGTTTTGGAGTGCTTAACCCATTTAAATAAATAAAGGGGTGTATCAGGAGGGGGGTGGTTGTAGGGCAGAGAGGTTCTCCTCCCCCGCTACTCTGCCCTGGTGAGACCGCATCTGGAATATTGCGTCCAGTTCTGGGCCCCTCAGTTCAAGAAGGACAGGAACTGCTGGAGAGAGTCCAGCACAGGGCTACAAAGATGATCAAGGGAGTGGAGCATCTCCCTTCTGAGGAGCGGCTGAGGGAGCTGGGGCTCTTTAGTTTGCAGAAGAGGAGACTGAGGGGAGACCTCATTCATGGTTATCAATATTTAAAGGGTGAGTGTCACGAGGATGGAGCCAGGCTCTTCTCGGTGACAAACAATGATAGGACAAGGGGTAACGGACACAAACTGGAACACAGGAGGTTCCACTTCAATTGGAGAAGAAACTTCTTCTCAGTGAGGGTGACAGAGCCCTGGCCCAGGCTGCCCAGAGAGGTTGTGGAGTCTCCTTCTCTGCAGACATTCAAAACCCGCCTGGACGCCTTCCTGTGTAACCTCATCTGGGTGTTCCTGCTCCGGCAGGGGGATTGGACTGGGTGAGCTTTGGAGGTCCCTTCCAATCCCTAACGGTCTGGGATTCTGTGAAATAATACAAATGGAAAGTACTCACAGGAAGGCCACCTGTGGTAAAGTAGCTAACTACTATTATCTTTGCAAAGAAGTGAAATACTTTGATTTGTTTAATGAAAGTGTCTCTGATGGGGCAAATGACTTTGCTACACCGTGTAGTGAATCTGCTAGCACCATCACCACAGCTAGGAACCGCCGTTGTTGGTCAAGATTCTGTTGTGCTAAATGTAAACCAAACAAAAAATAAGAAGAAAAGAAACATTACAAGATCAGAAGTGCCATTTATTCCTCTCTGAGTTCTTTCCAGCGTATTGGCACTCAGCTCTAGGTGCTGGCACCAGGAAGCACCACAGAATCTCTGCTGCAGACAGCACTGTCCTTGCTATGTTTCCGTAGTTCTGTCTACAGACACCTTTTCCTGTTGCTACTTGTCTCTCCCTAAACTCCAGGCTCCTTATTAAGACCGGACTCTGAACATTTCTATTCCACAAGTACCAGTTGCATCCTAATTAGAAAAACCCTGCTGAAACGGCGCAAGGTCTCATTAGAGCTGCTGAATCACAAGGTTCTTCATATCCTCTGTGGCTCCCCTCACCCTCTGGAGTCCAGAGCAGCATGTCCACTAACAGCCACTCTAATTAACGCTTCACACCTTATCCCCCATCCAGGGGCTCTGGGCATGTTAGGTCAGGCTCCCAGAGAAAATTATTAGGAGTTCAAGGGATATGAGCTAACTAAGTATTTTGTTAATAGAAGAGAGGTTACTTTGCTATGGTTTTTTTTGTTCTATATGCAGGGTGAGCATCTATTGTCAGAGCAGAGGCTGGCAGCGTATCTATGACAACAGAAGAGAGGATTATGCACTGAAATGGTGTGAAATCAAGTGCCCAGAGACCTATTACCATTTCAAAGAAGGTAGAGGTGCCCGTGGGCATTGAGTGGGAGACGCTGGTGGGAAAAACGTGAGCATGCTGGACTGGGACTCAAAGGGCAGAGGAGGTCACCTCGGGGTGGGAGAAAGACGTAGCCTCCACTTCTTGATAAACCTCAAAGGGGACATCACAGCTGGATTGCCATGGTGATTAAAGAAAGGGTTTTAGAGAGGAGAACAGCTTTGGGAGAACAAATAGATACGACTGAAATGAGACATTTAAACACAGACCATCATAATTGCTTTTGAATTTTGGTCCTCCCTCTTTTGGACATAGTAAGACCAGTAAGATAGGGTTTTTGTGCTGCCTGCGAGAGCAAGAGCGGGTGATGAGAAAGAGCAGGTGGAGCTCTAGTGCCAAGTAAGACCTCTCGCCTCTCCGAACCTTGACCAGAAACTGCACACTCAAACAAAGGACCGGGTTATTTTTCTGGATGCAATAATAGTTCAGGATACAGGGGGTTTATTTCTTTCTTATCATCTAGAAAAATCACTTCTTTTCCCAGAAGAATATAGATCTAAGACAGAATTTCTTCCTTCTCTATCTGTGGAGTTGCAGGAGTGCCAGGTCCCCCAAAGACAACACTCATAGTAATTCCCCTATTTGGGTACATCATCCTACTGGAAAGGCCATAACTTCTTGTGTCATGGACACTGTAAATGCCTGCTCCTATATTCTTGACCTACCAAAAACCCCAAATGGCAGTAATCCTGTACCAGGGCTACCTGCAGCCTAATCTCAACTAGTTTTCAAAACACTGAGCATATGAAGAATGCCTTAAGGCTAACATATATTCTTGAAAGCTCATGAAATGAGGTAGCTCAAGAAATACATATAACACACACACAACTCTCTACAAGCAGGGAAAAAAGCCATTTCTTCAATTTCTACTTGCAACCATCCTTTGTGACAGCAACAGAGGAATTAATGTGTTGGACAGGGTTTTCTACTTGTATTTCTCAATCGATTCTCCCATAGGTTACTGAAGATGGAAGAATTCTTCCCAGAATCTTTTCGCCTGGACTTAAAAGAAGAGAGAAATGCCTTTTTTGGGCTTTGCAAAGGTGAATTATCTTCATCACGGTGGCGATAGCGATGTGATTGTCTCAAATGTACATGAAGGTATGCACAGTAATGATAATGGTATGTAGATGCATTCACACATGTTCAAGGGAGCAGTTTTCAGAGCCCCCTAATGGGCACATCGGTGTTTCGTACCACACACATTACTATAATAGATGCCTTCTCTCTCTGCAGAAGAACAGATCTGGATCTGCAAACCGAATTGCTCTAACCAAGGCAAAGGGATTTTACTGCTTAAAAATCCAGCTGCTGTCAACACCCTTCGAGCCAAGCTTCACAGCACTGAGGAATACCTGCTCAACAAGAGGGTGCTGTACAAGGCTGCCCAGGCCAGAATAGTGCAAAGGTAGAGACTGAAGCCTGGGAATTCGGGTGCGAGCAGCGTGCTTGGTGAGGCACAGCGGCCTCGGAGAGTTGAATTGTTCCATGGGTATTTAATGTGGTTACAGCACATTTCATCAGCCCGTGAGGTTTCGTCTTGTGGCAGAGAGGCTATTTCGCTGATTAGCGTGTCGTGCATCCACACTGCAGTCACTTCAAGGCAGATCTTTGTCATCAGAGAGATCTGAGTTTACCTTTGGAAGTTTAGGAGTGACTTCCAAAGGCCAGATGCTACAGTTCTGGATGTGAGTTCTACACAAAGCAATTTCAATCAGATATTATCCCAGCCTCTTATACAAAGCTAGCATTTTACAACTTGTACAGCTACAGTATCTGTTCCATACAAATAAAGCCTCTCAAATATCTTCTTAACCCTGCCTCAATGCTGCAAAAGCCTGGACCTCAATCAACAGGCAGTAACGAGCAGTCACTACAATTTTGGCGTGGGGTTAGGGTCATGAGAACAGTTCCAGCTCCTGAACATTACTTGCTTACGGTTACACAACTCACTTAACTTCCCTGTGCCTCAGTGTCCCTCCCTCAATCGAGGAATGCTGTATAATTAACTCACTTCATTGCTTTGAGATGAGTGAACGAAACGTTCAAAGGGAAATGCAAAAGGGATGTTTTATTTATCCCAGGAGCTGCAGTTCCCAGGTGACTTTGGTGTGCACAGCCAGGCATGCAGGGCACTCTAAGCCTATGGTGCCCACGCACGCGTGGCGTGGCCCGGCACTGTCACGACATGCCAGCGCGATACACTCGTGACAACGCTGAAGCATCGGCATGGCAAAAGCGTGTTCTGTCATGCAGTGATCACTCAACATCCTGGCAAAGTGGTGACACCGATTCCTCATAGTGAACCTGGGCTAATGCCCTGATATTCTGCTGTCATGGCTTGGCATCTTTATCTTGCAAGAGAACACAGCGCAGAGCAACCTTTCCAAGAGCTGTTCTAGCCAAAGAAAGCAATGTTCTCCCCTTACACTCATCCAAGCTTTTCACAGCAAAGGAATGGTTGGCCTCATTGAAAAGGGTGAGGGATTTGTAAAATGGCTAACTGGGATGATGACCTGGACTCTATGCAGTCTATAGAGCAGAACAATTAGCCCAAGAGCCTTAGTCAGACCAATACTAAGTGGTCCTTGACATGGACGAGCAGCAGTGCCAGGCAAAGAAGTGGTTGGACACCATCTTCGATCTCATCTTGATTTCTGTCAGTCAGGAATACCTTATGCTCTGAAGAACGAGGCTCCACATTCCTTTGAAAGCTGTTGTTAGCATTGATTGCTCTAACAGTATATCCTTGTATTTATGTAGACATCCAGCAACCTTTGATGATAAAAGGAAACGATTCCCAGGTTACATCACTCTGGCAATAAAAGCAATGGTGCTGCATGAAGGGCTCTTTGTGTTCGGACATGAACTTTATATATTCTCCAGTAAATATTAGTAAATCTTTAATTACCTCCCGCTCCCAAGACTCAGCACAGCTTCTATTCCTCTTGAGAGCTGCTCTTGGCATTTCTAACCTCTCCTGCCGGCGCCCTCTGCTGCCATTCACCTTAAAAACAGCGTTGAAAAAAGGGACAACCCGATTAGTTCTGTGGTGTGAAACGAACTGGTTGTGGGGTTTTGTGTGAGCTTTGAATTGCCACGAATTACGGCTGCCTGTTGATGATGCGTGTCGAAATACTGCTCTGACAGGTACATTCATCAGCCTCTGCTCCTGGAAGGGAAGAAGTTTGATGGCCGGTCTTACCTCCTCATTGCCTGCACAGCACCGTACGTGGTGGTTTTTGCCCAAGGTTACGTCAAGTTGGCCTGTGTCGCTTACGACGCCACGTCGGATGAGCTGACGGTTCATCTCACCAACCAGGTAAGCTCGGGTCACGTAGTTCAGGAGCTGAGGGTGTGGTTGACGGAGACGGGAAGCAAAGAAGAGACTTTGGAAAGGCTAAAAAACCAAATGTCTCATGCATGCAAAATCTACACAACCCAGGAAATGGACGTGGGTTCTTGGTCAGGCAGGGCAACAAGGCTGAGCAGAAGCAGTACTGGATCAGGTTTTGGTCTGTCACAGACCAGTTCTTTGCTTAACCTGACCATTTCTTTCTCTGGACATCTTTTTCCTACCATTTTTCTCACCTATCTCCAGACTGTAAGCTTCTTAGGGCAAGAAGCCTTCGACTGCAGCTACCTCGCACAAAGAAGCTTTAGTCTTAGGCTAAGGATTTGGCTGATCCTGTTGTGCTTAAATACAATAATCACAACGATGTAAGATACAGATGTGTTCTTCAAGAGCCATAATTCTTAAATCTCCACCTTTGCTTGCCTTGCTTCTCAAATGGGAGCTGTAACAGAACAAGACTGTTGTGGCTTGTACCCTCATACATCTCTTATCATACGAAAGGAGCCTGCCTTGCTCAGATCCAGCTGGGTTTTTACTCCAAATGAGGTCCTTTAGAACTGGCCATGATGAAAGAGAATTAAAAGAATGACAAGAACAGTTTGCTTTTAGAGCCCATGTCTCCTCCCAGTGTCCTGAGAACCAGCAGAATACACATCAGGGGGGTATCCACTGCAGTTGGAGCTTGAGGGTTGCTGCAGAAGTGCAGTTCAGGACAGCAGATCACAGCTGCTTCCTGCAATATCTGCTATTATCAGCACACCACTTGTTTTCCTGGCATGGTTTGTTTGCTCAGCTAGAGAGCTATCCACACGGGAATTCAGGTGCTCAGGTAGGATCCCACGGCACAAGCGGTATTAAACAAAGGACAGGTGTTTATTAGCAGGACAGAAATTAGCCGGGTTCCTGCTGGGAGGAGGGAAACTAAATTTACCAGAGCTACTGCTAACAGGCCAGATGTCTTCAAATTACACTTGACTCTGCTCTCATCCCCTTCCACCTGGAATCAGCCGCTTTCCTACCCTATTTCCAAAAGACAGGAGGTTCCCAGTCTTCCCTGCCAGCAATCTAATCCTCCCTTTGCTGTGTCTCCCCACCTCTCAGTCCATGCAGAAGAAGAACTCCCTGTACGGCCAGCTGAAAGAGGAGACAGTCTGGCGGATGGAGCACTTCAACAGCTACGTTAATGAGAAGTTCACAGAAACCCACGGCCTCCCCAAAGACTGGGTTTTCACTGCGTTTACTGTGAGTGTGAGCAAGTGTACGGTGTGCTAGCCTGCCTAATTACACTGACAGGAGCAGGGAGAAAGCCTGTCAGCTCACTGGAGCCCCCAAGGAAACACGTACCCTGAGTGAGAAGGTACTGATGGTCCCATGGCAACCGTTTCTCTGCAGATGCTAAACACAAAAGTGAAGACACAAAGAGTTTAATTTGAATAAAATGGGTAAACGCTAGCTATAAAAATGCAATTATGGTCTTCACGTTCCTGGCCCAACGCTGTGGTCCTGCCTTAAAAAATACAGTACACAAGAGAGAGCTCTCCAGCTCCGAGCCTGAAAAGGGACTACGCTTGCAGCAGCCTCTTTCCTGCCTGACTTTGTCTCACCCTTTACTTCCCATCTCATTTTGCCACATGAAAATCACGTCAGGGCCTTAGATCTTCTCTTATCCTGGAGGCGAGATAAGAAAACTCAACTGGCTTTATTTCCTATCACCTTCTTGTCTCATTGAAGAAACCAAGTGAAGAAACGATCTGAGTCCGTGAGACTTCATCTCATCAGCCGGAGTCTGATGATGCATCAACTCCCTACGTGACTCGCTGAGGTGAAAGGGCAGAGGACACGGCTCTCTCAGGTTAATCACAGATCACAGAATCCCAGACCGTTAGGGATTGGAAGGGACCTCCAAAGCTCATCCAGTCCAATCCCCCTGCCGGAGCAGGAACACCCAGATGAGGTTACACAGGAAGGCGTCCAGGCGGGTTTTGAATGTCTCCAGAGAAGGAGACTCCACAACCTCTCTGGGCAGCCTGGGCCAGGGCTCTGGCACCCTCACTGAGAAGAAGTTTCTTCTCCAATTGAAGTGGAACCTCCTGTGTTCCAGTTTGTGCCCATTACCCCTTGTCCTATCATTGTTTGTCACCGAGAAGAGCCTGGCTCCATCCTCATGACACTCACCCTTTAAATATTTATAACCATGAATGAGGTCTCCCCTCAGTCTCCTCTTCTGCAAACTAAAGAGCCCCAGCTCCCTCAGCCGCTCCTCAGAAGGGAGATGCTCCACTCCCTCCATCATCTTTGTAGCCCTGTGCTGGACTCTCTCCAGCAGTTCCTGTCCTTCTTGAACTGAGGGGCCCAGAACTGGACGCAATATTCCAGATGTGGTCTCACCAGGGCAGAGTAGAGGGGCAGGAGAACCTCTCTGACCTACAACCACCCAATTAATGGAAATTTTGGAAATGCCGTTGTTTAAAGCCAAATGCAAAGAAAAGCAAAAAGCCAAAAACTTTGTTAAAATATGTGAGGGAAAAAAAGATAAAATAAGAGGAATTTGTGAGTCATCACTGTCAGAGATGGCTGTGCTCAGCTTCCTATGGGTCCCCCATAGGAATAAATGGAAGCACACCACTAAAACCTCTGCAGAGCTCATTCTGAGTAAGGGCCCAAGATCCCTTTATGCACCATTCTCCAGTTTGGAGAACCAAGTTCAAGAGGGATTTTTAATCAACTTAAAGCGGACAGACATGGTCTGCAAAATGCAACATCCTTCCAGGTCTAGAGAGGAGCAAGAAAAGACATCCCCAAACCTATGGCTGACAGTGACTCCTATGTCCATGGCATTCACGATGACCGGTTACAACTGCTCCCTGCCTTCTGTTTCAGAAAAGGATGAAGCAGATCATGCTGCAGTGTTTCCTGGCAGCCAAGCACAAGCTGGACCGCAAACTGGGCTACTTTGATCTCATCGGCTGTGACTTTTTAATTGCTGAAAACTTTAAGGTACGAATACAATACTGTCAAATACTGGGTATGATATTGGCCAGGTGTCTAATGCCAGCGGTGCAGCAGGGTTGACACAGGCTCTGGTGCTAGGAATTAAATATTCACTCAGCTGTGAAGCACAGGATTCATTTTTTATTCCAGCTCCATTGCCCAGCATCAAGACATGGCCCTATATTGCCTGGACCTTTACTGCACAGAGAAACCCTGGCATTAACAGCTCAGGATGGGAAGAGAAGTACTTACTGCAGCTGAAACTGCCCTGTGCAGAGTTTTCACAGGAAAATGGAGCTCATAGTGAAAAGTATGGGAGTTTTAATGCCCGCTCAGTTTTCCCTTTCTCCAGAAACCAAACTTGCCAGATAAATCAGTGTGCAATGCCCCCAACATCACATGAAGCGCGCTGATTTACACGAGCGTAGGCAATGAGGAACTCGCCCTCACCATACTGAAGAATCAGTCGTTATCGATTCGGATGTCAGCACCAGCATCTCCAGCAATAGGTCAGCCCACGAGCCTATAAAATCTGCTAGAATTACAGCTCCAACTTGTAAAGGGGGAATGAAACGCAGACAAGAGAAGCCAGAAGAAAGGGAAGTGTTAAATGCAGTGATTGAGCTGCTTTCAGCGCAGCACAGTCCTTCAAAACCACCTGGCCTAAACACAACAGAAAGCCATCTGGCAGATTCTGCTGTCGCTAAAGCAGAAAGGAACTCAAATATATTCCAGCAAGGGCAGGGGGAACAGCAAAGCCCAGGAAAGAATGGCATCAATGTATGCAGCGCTGGGTACGGCCCCGAACAATGGACTCCTTTGTACAGGAAGTCAATGGCAAAGGGGGAGTCGATGGCAAAGACACAGAAACTGGTGCTTCTCAGATTTCAGTGGGAATTGTCCTCTGCAAGGCTGGCATGCAAAGCCCTGGCTGTGTAAACTTTAAGTAGAATAAAAGATGCAGTGTCACCCTATTATGGTAATTCCTACTCGGCTAGTTAAAAAACTTCAGCGGTTAAAAGCCATTACGTCCCCATGCGTTTTACTTACGGAGAGATAAACAAAATCTGTATTTTCATGAGTGTTATCTAGAAGAATGATGAGGGTTTCTGGACAATTGGTGGTGACAGAGTCAGCTGGAACTTGAAACTTGCCTGTGAGAGAAACTAATGTGGAAATTTAGGCATTTATTTAGCCTAGGTTCATGTTTTCTTGCCTCTGCTGGGGAGCAACAACCTGACTAGTTTATTGGCACACCACTGCATCAGGAGACACCTGTACTACACAGCATTGAAATGCTGAAGGAACCTGTTTCCAGAAAGCATTGCATCAGCTGTGCCAAAGGGCTTCTCTCCAGATGTGTGCTGGGCCAGACAGATGTGTACATTTTTAGTGAGCCATAAAGGCACTGCATCTAGCACTCCACAAAGACCAAGAAATGAGACCTCAGACCCTGGTGTGGTGCAGGAGCTGGCTGCAGTCAGTGTGGTGTTCAAGAACCCATGGACATATCCTACTGTTTAAAGTTTTTAAGCCTACCTGTGATGTCTTGACAGAGCAAGTTTATGTTTAAGACAAGAGATGGAGCTGTACTGAAGCACTGCAGGGAGCAGGAACGTCTTCACCCCTGAGAAATGCCCACAGCAGCACTTCTGACCAAAGCCACAGGGCACCCTTCGTTGTTCTCATCCCTTGAAAAGCCTAAGGAAAAAGGACAGCCCATGGTTAGGAAGTTGAGGACAGACATTGTGGATTTTGGCTTCCTTTCCTTGTCATACGTTTGCTAGGAAATCTTGAGCGAGGCACGTGCATGCCAGATATGAGGAGAAGCACGGGTATTTCATTCTACATTAAATTCCCATGAAAGTATAGACTTTATACTAATACTATATATATATTATATATAA